ACACACACACACACACACACACACACACAAACACATTTCCATTTTTACAATGACCATAGAACCAACTGTGTTCAACACATTATAAACCCCCCCAAAAAGCCAAAGCAGAAGCGAATTGTAACTATAACTGTAATAATAGAGGTTTTTACGCCCCCATCAACCCAACTTAGATCATTTTGAAGGCGGGTTGCTGTGACCCTGCCTGCCAGACCAATCCGAGCTGAGAGGGATACAACGTCCCAGCAGACAGGCTGATATATTCGATAAGGAAACTCCCCACATGGAAATGGAAATCACGCCCTCTGCGTGCGTCGGCGCAGTGTCTAACTGCTACACCACAGACGCTGATGTAAAGGTGAGTAACCCATTTTTAGAGTTTTACGGCTCTTGTTACACAAAGAAAGGTCATATTATAAGTGCCGGAGATTACAGGTGATATTTGAGAGTGACGTACAAATGTGAGGCAGCGTGGTGGAATCAGGCTCTCGTCAAAATAATCAAAGTGAATGAACTTGCTTTTTTCCGTAGGTTTGTGAATTTTGATCAAACTTTTGTTTTTTGGCTCAACACCTTTCATACCAATCAAAGAGCTCATTTCTGTGTGGATTTTTCTGAAAAGCTTTGGTTGAAGGCACAGAAATATAAATTTACAACGGACTCTTAAGCTAAGGAAATAACTACTCTTTGGCGGGCATTTTCTCACTAATTTTACCTCTGAAAACAGGTGACCCCCACCTCCTTCTTTCGCAAATATCTCGATTTGTATTCAAGATAAATCGATATTTTTTCATCCAAATAAACACAAGTGAACAAGCTTTAAGATGATGCCAATAACTCTACATGCCCAAAAATTTGACGAGAGCCTGATTCCACCACGCTGCCTCACAAATATAGAAAACGTTTCAAATATTATTTCAGAATGTAAAACAAACTGACGCTGTATCCCTATTAATTGGGCCAATGTTCTTTTCCAGATACATAAGAGGCAACGGGAGGTCAATGCCCCCCATCTGTTTCTACACAAAGTTTTTTTTTCTATTTTTTTTTGGGTAAAGGAATAACACTAGAGTCTACCACATGACAACACATCCCCGCACCACCACAAAGGAAATGATACACGTTGTGGTTGGACCAGATCAGTGTGTGATGGATATACGTGTCTGAGAGTCTCGCATGACAAAAGAAGATAATCCAAAAACATAAAAGTAGATCCACACACTTTATTACAGCCCACTCGGGTCACACATGTCACAGTCGAAATGACATTGACTGTGTATAGTCGAGTGTTGTGTAAGGCCGATAACAACAACAAAAAAGTGTTCATCGACCTGGAAAAAGTCTGTTTTGTTCACTTCAGACTTCAGTTCTCTACCCCCCAAAATTTTCAAAATTGTGGATGTTAGAATCATTTCGACACGTGACAAAATGAGAAGGCAAGTAAGATTTCATTGAACAGCAAGAAAAACGGGCCTATAAATTATAGACGACTGGTGTCTATATATAACTAAAGGAAAGCACTATTGCCAGTGACACTGGGGATAGGCCCAGAAACTATTCCCAGTGACAGGCCCAGAAACCACTGGCAATTGGGCCTAGAGCCTTGGCCTAGGGCAGAATTGTTCCCACTGTCACTGGGAGTAGGCCCAGAAACTATTCCCAGTGACACTGAGAACAGACAGGCCCATTAGATCTATTGTTTCCACACTGATCTACATGGGCATGATGGTGATGGGTTACTAAATACTAGACTATATCTAATGCAGATCTAGATCTAGATCTAGATCTAACTAAACTAAAGTAAATTCTAGTGTGAGTGGAAGATTTAAAAAAAAAAAAGAAGGAATTATCAGTCTATGCTTGCTTGTTATTCTGTCGTAATTTATGTACGTGTAGATCTAGATCTACATACGGATTTTGGAGACCACGGTACAGGACAGGGAGAAATCATTCCCGATTCTTCTTTTTTCTATATCTAGATCTAGTTCTAGATCTATTCTACGGTCAAGTCTAAGCCCTCAGCTTAGATGTATACTATAGGCACTAAAAGGGGGTAACTCTATGGCCCTAGAGAAGAGAACAAAAGTACATAATTTGCATGTATGTACCGAACTGAAGTGAAAAGAGAGTCTACAGTGCAGTGCAAAGACTTCTGATTTTTTTTTGGGACGCAAAAGAGTTCCATTGTCACTGGGAATAGTTTCTGTACCTATCCCCAGTGTCACTGGGAATAGTCACTTCGATAACTAAAACACCTGCAGCTGCGGTTGGACACTTCGCTGCAGCGCACAGGAGAACCGAGTTCGATTCCCAAATGGGGAGAATATTTTTATTGGGACTATCTCGATCTTTCTGCTGGAACATGGTATTCCTCTCCTCAGCCCAGGTTGGCCCTGGATGGCTGAGTTGGAAGCCTGCCTCCTAAATGATCTCAATTGTGTCAATGGAAGCGTAAAAACACCAACATTGAAAAAGAACGACATGCTGCCCCGTCATCCAATAGCTATTTTTACTCAAGGACGTTTTCTTTCAACACAGCGCGGCAGGTGTTTGAGAGACCCAAAATAATTGCGAAACTCTATTTGTGTCACGACACCTTGGAATCAGGTGCTCGTCAATTTTTGGGCATATGCGGTTGTTGGTATAACCTTAAAACCTGTTCACTTGCCTTGCTTTTGATGATAAAAATATCCATGTATCTTGAATAGAAGTAGAAGTCGAAATCTATTTGCTATTTAAGGAGGTAGGGGTCGTTTGGTTTCGGAGGTAAAATTAGCGCACAAAAAATGGCCGCCAAAGTTTTGTGACTTCCTGAGCTGCAGTGGCTTTGTAAAGTGCAAATTTACATTGTTGGCGCCTAGGATCAAATTTGTTTTTCAGCAAAATTCACCTAGGAATTTGTTTTAAATAGACGCAACAGGTGTTGAGCCCCTCCCCTCCCCCCTTCCCCGAAAAAAGAAATAAAATTGAAAACCGATGAAAACTGTCCAAAAGAGGAGAACAAAAACAGTATTACCCTTTTCTTCAAAATGTGTTATGTTAACGAGCGGATGCTTTTACTAAGATGCCACGCTTTAACTGTTTAACACCCTCTCTTACTCTTTAAGATTATCTAAGAGGTGTGGCCACCATATTTAACGTCTATCTCCACTATGGCAGAACCACGATCGGCGGAGAGCCATAAAAACTCTCCAGAGCCAACTCATGTTTAGAGTTAGGGCGACCCGTGGGGAATTGGCACCACGGTCATAATTATCATTATTATGCTCCGTAGCCCTGCATGATTTGCAGTGAGATAAATGTGTGCCTTGAGAACCTCATGTTTATTTACATTTGTAATTTTGCTTTTGCCAAAAGAGTAAATTTCTGAGAGTTAACGACTACTACTATTAATGTAAATCAAGATTGATAGAACATTAATAATTTTTTGTTGAGGTTTGATTCAAAAGCAACAGGAAGGTGGGATCTAGTTCAGAGAGACCGAGACATAGATCTAATACATGTATCGATTACTTGTCCGAAAAGTAAGATCTATATAAAATGGGTGGAGATTATAATGTATATTTATATTTGGAAAACCTACGTTTTGAATTTGTGGCAAAAAAAACAAAAAAAAAAAAACAACAACAACAACAACAACAATAACAAAACCAAACTCAACTTCAGAGAGATTTGACTGAGCTCTGGTTATTGAAAAGAGAGACTAAATGTGACGCATCTGGTCTAGATCCAACTGCATTCGATACAGTAGTATTAGTGACTACACCAAATTAAATTGTAACAAAGAGTTTAATACAGTAACTTGCTTGCAGTTGTTCCCCGATCGCTGTTCCCCGGTAACGATGACGTCTACAGCCGCTGTTCACCAACACGGCAGATTTTTACCGTTTGAAAAACAAGGTTCTGTTCAGACAACACTCCGTTGCCTAATAATTAAAAAGTCATCTCTGACATTGTTGCTTGTTTTGAGCTACTAAGACCCCGTGGTCAGAGACCAATCATTCTGTTCTATCCGCTGTATCAAAATCGTAAGGTTATTCGGAGTCCTAATCAAGATATTTAAAGAATTGCATTTGATAAAGCTTGACATCATTTCAAACTCAAAATCTGCGGTGTCAAATTTCTTAAAACTAGGTACCGAGCAGGTAGAACTTTGTAATGTTTGGGTAGCGACTTGTGTTTCATTAACTTATCTTTATTAAAGTGATCTCTGCATTTTGTCACTTACCCTGCAGTGGAGTTCGTTTAAACCGAACACGGTTAATCGAATAACAGCTGTTAAACGAAAGAAAACAAAAGCCCTGATTTCTTTCCTTCCTTTTGTATATCCTTTCTATACCGAAAACTCGGCTAGACCGAAAAATTCCGAATGTCTCGTAGATTTCATTATTCATGTACTTCACAGTATAAATTCGAATCAGTTATGTACAATGAACACAAAAACTCACAATGACTTAAATTAATACAATGTGGTGGGTTGTACAGAACTGTTATTATTTTCTTTATCATACATGTATTTCCTATCAACACATTCTCTTGTGGCTTCTACTCCAGCTTCTACTGATTAAATAGCCAAAGTGCTTTATCATTGCTGCTACTTAGTCTCTGCCTCTCACACAGAAGGCGTTCATTTTCAAGAGAGCATAATCACTAAACATGAAAAACCTGTAGATCATTTTTTAATGTCTATGTTAAGAACAGACAATTGGTAGTCTCCGAGTGCATTAGGGTGAAATGGACGGGAAGAATAACATGCCAAACTTTGCAGACAGGGCGAACGTTAGCCACAAGAAATCGTTCAAAATCAAAATTAAGATTAGATTTGTATCAGTATGTTTGTGTTCAAGTTCAATGGACACAATAAAAACATAATAATTAGTGATAATTGTATAGCTCATATCTCAGTTTGACAACAGGCTCTATGCGTTTCCCACCCACGGGCGGTTTGTTAACTGGGCAAGACCGGATTTTTGTCAGCTGTACTGTTGACTAGAGGTTTATTGCTGATAATGATTTTCGTTCAGTTTTAAGTAAATCCAAACAAATATATGTATCAACATTCAAAAACACCTTGCCGATTTGAAGGCTCTCAAATAGACAAGTCGGATTCACTGCTGTTTTGTCGCGACATAACCTCATTCCTTTACGTTTGTTATCGCGCCGGCTCGTAACTTTAAATCGTCTTTCGTCAAGCCGTCACGTCGCGGAACTTCGTCACGTCTGTCCCCTGGACAAATCCATCGACTGCCCTCAGAGCGAAAAGTGTATCCCTTAATTGCCAGACTGGCCTCTTTATAGCTTACAAAATTAAGAATGAGACTGTCTTGAGCAGCACAGACACATGTATTATTTTATTAG